TAAATTATTTTAGGGTTAATTTCATGATTTGTGCTCTACTGTATGGTTATATTACTATAGTTCGGCCGCTTAGAAAACGACCTGCGCGCTAATGCTAAACCAATGCTGGAGGAGGTCGCTTTCTAAGCGGCCGAACTTTTTAGAGGACGAGTTATTGTTTATGGTTTAATCGTTTTATTTGCTTAAACAAGGTTTTAAATTACTGTAATAGCAAGAAACAAATTGTAAACAAAACACGACCTCTACAGTGCTCAACGGACAGAAATAACAATAAAATTAGTTTCAGATGTTCCATAAGGATGAGAAATCTACTAAGGAAGTATGTTCTATGGTTTTATCCTCGGACTATTTAAAACGATTCCAATGTTGCAAACTTCGCACGTCTTTGACATTGGCGTTACATTTTAGCCGTCTTTGCCGAGGTCAGTGGCCATTCACGGCCGCCCACCGCTCAGCTGTTGCGATTTATATAATTTATTCACTTAAATATTGAAACAGTCTCACTTTCATCGTAAAAAGAATTTACAGCTACAATAAATATAACGTTTTCTGAATGCAAGCCAAGTTATTTTTAAATGGACTTTATTAACATACTACGGAAGAAATAACTTAGGGGAAGTATATCCGGGGCCAATGGGAATTGACCAATTTTACCGTACGATTTATTTTTTCGTTTTGAGGCCCCTAGAGGTCAAAAACACCATCCGTTCAAACTCATATATATATATATATTTATATATATATTAATAAATGAAATAAATAATTAAACATTTAGTACCCTTTAAGTTATTAATTTATTGAATAATCTTACATGTTTCGGCTCTTAGGCCATGATCACAGTTATGAACAAATCTATATATAAAAATCTATCTATATATAAATATATATATATATGTGTCCGTTAGCACGATAACTCGAGCAAAAATGATCCGATTTTGATGAAATTTGGTACAAACGTGTAAACCTACATTTATTCGAACGAGTTCGCGAACCAGCATGATCGGACTATGGGAACGGGGGTTTATGGGGTAAAAGTAGGTTTTTTCCTATTTTTGACCCTAAAAACACAAAATTTTACAATTTATTTCCAAATCATTTTGTAGAGCTTAAAAAACAAATAATTTAGAATATTGAAGCGTTATTGTGCGCCTAATGGTTACGGAGAAAATTCCAAAAATTGTAAATTTAAAATCCCCATGTTATTCTTATGGAGAATAAGTCAACTGTTGTAGTTTACTTGGTAATATTTATCTCTATCAAAGTCGCAAATACTTGGTGTTAAAAAATGCTTTCACAAAAATACCTACCATTTTCATTGGTTTATTTCCACGTAAACATTTTCATTCATGACACAAACAAACACATTGTTATAAGTTACTGTACTCGTAAACGCCATAACAGTCTACACAAGAAGTACGTGACAATATACAGTGTGCTATATATTGAGCAGGCCGACGTAGTTACAATTTATGACCGCAGGTCGCAGCACGCAAGACTAGTTGATTGTTTGGCCACAAGATGCCAGCACGGTGGCAAGTTCTAAACACTTCTCGCAAATGCTGACACACTAAACATTGCCGTAATGAGGTCATTGTCGATTGGATAGCATCCAGGCCATACCACCCTGTCAGAACTTACATGTTAATAAGTAATAGAGGAAATGTTTTATACCGAGAGTAACTGTTATTCCTGACGTGATGTTTTTAATTTTGCAGTCTTTGAGTACGCAGTGAGATTTTAAATATGTTGCAAAATATGGAAAAATATTAATGAACTATGAACACTCCCTACCAGTATTTTTTATGCTAGAAAATATTAAGCAATTTAACTGACAGTTATGTGATCAGCTCAATAAATTAAATCTTACATACGTAATATAGCGAAATTAACAAAAATTAAGTAAATAGTAAAACTAAGCACTGACTCGACTTTTGAAAATTCTAAGTAAACTTGTGATGCTAAAAAAATATTAGCAGATACTTAGGGAGTATTACAATTGTCAAATTATTTACCATAATACTTAGTAACAAGAACAAGTAGCAGATCACACTACCTACAGTTAGGAAAAATGTCCACAAACAGTGGCGGTTCCAAGGGGGGGGGCTACAGGGGCTAAAGCCCCCCCTTGGACCCTGAAAAAAAATTGAAATGTACATTTCGTCCTTAAAACAAATTCGTCCATAAAACAGACATCAATGTAGTTTTTATTAAACTTAATAAGCGATGGCAGGGGCAGTATTAAGTTCCACATAGATACACTTTGTGGACAATAGCACAACGAATAAAACAATATTAACGCTATGGAAAGTTGTACACGTATCATCCAATCTGTACAGCAGTCAGCTGTTGACATGCTAGGGCAAAGGCGAGCGCCGAGCGCGCGAGCGAGGACGGGGAAACAGCTGGTTTCCGGCAAATGTCTGCTAGCCACTAACACAGGCATCAATCAGCAATCAGCGGTAGCACCAGTAGCCTCTATTACCATTGACTAAATAAAGACTAAGTGTTAAAGTTTATATAGTCAATGAATGCTATTAATGAATTCGATACTATACATATTGTGACAGATCTATGAAATGGAGAAAAACGTAAGGTTAAAAACGTGCTTATACTTGCTTGCATGACATATAACAGTTGAAATGGAAGGTTTTAGGACAATTGGACACAGTTCTAGCCGTTATAAATGGCTTTATAAAGTCACCAAACGGTTTTAAGGAGATGGCTTCGTAGTCTACAGTAGGCCTATGTTTTGAAATTCATGAATGCAAGTTCGTAATAGTTTGTATTTTTAATTGTCTACTTGCTCATGACTAACAAAAATAACAGGTGAAATGGGAGGTTTTAGGACAGTTGGATAACAGATATAGACGTTAATAATGGCTTTAGAAAATTAGTAAACAGCTTTTAGGAGGATATGGCCGTAGCCTACAATATGTTTTGAGATTTATGAATGCAATCGTCATAGTTATTTTTAAAAATGACTTATTCATGACAAATAAATGGGGAAATGGGAGGTTTTGCGCACATTTCTAGACGTTAAAACTGGCTGTAGAAAGTCATCAATCGGTTTTTAGGAGGATATGGCCGTAGTCTACAGTATGTTTTGAAATTCATTAATGCAATCGTCATAGTTTAATTTTTAAAATGTCTATTTGCTTATGACAAACAACAGGTGAAATGGAAAATTGGGCACGGTTTTAGGTGTCAAAAATGGCTTTAGAAAGTCACCAAACGGCTTTGAAAATTCCTAATTTTCCCGGGGGAGGACCCCCGGACCCCCCCTGCTTTATTGTGGGGTGCTCCACAACCCCCAAACCCCCCCGTAGACCCCCCCTTGACAAGGTCCTAGGACCGCCACTGTCCACAAAAACTCTTGGGGCAACAAAATGTTTCTTTAACATTTAACACACAATGCACTAAAAACACATTCATTTTTTTATGATAGGCAAATGGTGTGTGTATGTGTAAAAACTATATACCGTAAATGACTTTTACAATTTATAATTAATTTTAAATGTCTAGATTCAACGCACATTAAACTAAGAAGAAAACTGTCAAGCTTTCGATCTGAGCCGTAAGCCGCTATCCCGATCGTTTATTGATAAATTAATATGATAAAATTAATTTTATTAAGTGTTTAAAGTCTCAGCAATAGACTTATTCACTTTTTCACTGATTAGGATTTATGTATATTAATTATTAATTTTTGTATGCAAACAATGGATAAACTATTTGGTTTTCTCTAACATTCCAAATTTATGTCTAGTACTTTAATACGTTGCTGAAAAATAGTCTACGCTTGTAAAACAAAATGAACTAAAAGATACACCAAAATATCATAGAGTGTAAGAATTTAAATACTTCCTTACGATGTAAACCGCATTACATAACGGCTTTGGCCAGTCTCCAAATATTACGTTTGGGTTAACAGGTCAATAGTTTATCAATTTAATTGAGACCTTTAATTTTACGACTTTTACTTTACTTAAACTTGTGATAGTGTAATTTACTTTTACTCAAACACACGTTACAAACAACAAATAAGGCAAACTTATAAATTTTGTTAATGTTAAACAATCTTCTTTTATAAAAACAAAGAAAAGGTGTTAATAGCGTTTTGCAAGTAAAATGGTAATGAACAAATGAACATTAGGCCTTCTTTCATTGGGGACACTTTGAATCCTCATAACATGTACCTAATTTTACATGACTTTTCTTTCCCAAGATAACATTTTAATCAGGAAGCAAATTTAAAATTTCTCGTGTCCTCTCAATAATAATGCGATGGAATTACGGTGCTGCAACGATTTTATACCTGAGAAATTTAGATTTATTTTATAACGCTTTACGCAAGTCTTACTTAATTGAGTTACATTATAACTCATTCATGGAAACATACGTCCTTAATTAACTAAATTATTTCATTAGCAAAATTAAACCGTTATAGACTTGTTTGTTAAGTATTCTTCATATCCTAATGTTTGTTACCTAGAACTGATAAATAAATAAAAAAATATGATTATTAGTTAAATTTACATATTTCATTCCCATTGTGTTATACATCAAATTTCTGACACGAAATACTCCAAAACGACTAGGCCTAAATGATGACGCAACAGGATAGAGGGCAACCCCATTTTAAATTGCTCAATTAATCAATTACACTTTTCAAGTCTTGTTTTATTGCAACCTGTCATTAATGCGACGAGTTGTATAACCAGACTGGTTACGTAACCAAACCACTTCTTTATCTTTTGCACCGGAATGATCCAGCGGTTATTACAATAAAACGATCAGCCGGCATAATGAGGGTGTTAAGCTCTTACGTGAGTGGAATGCGATCGATAGGTTGAATACAACCGATTGGTCGAAGGTCGCGTCCCTTGGCAACAATTGGCGTCAACAATGGAAATGTCCAACAATGAAACCGCAATCAGCTGTTAGCGTTAGGTTAGTTGAACACAGAGGTTATGTAACACGTTACACGTTACGTAACTCACATCTACAGAGGATTCTCTTCGCTAACTCGAACACATGAGATTGAGGCATCTTGGACACTCGCGGATGGAAGTACAGTCGCGCACTGGGCGGAACTAGCTTGACATTCGCTAGGTCTGCCAAGACGATATTGCCCGCTGCAATCCCTCTAGTGGGATAGTTTTGACTTGTACCTTGAGCTATGTTAGCCCGAAAGGTGCTACTAGGAAGATATCTTTGAAGTTCGTAAATGTTTATGAGATTCGAAATAGACATAACCTTACCCTTCACAATTTGTAAGATACAATTTGGTTTAGACCTTTCATAAACAAGTGCGGTTTAACAAGAATCAACTGTGCATATTAAAGGGTATTCTAACACTAAGTTATTTTTACAACAGTACTGTATACTTTTGAAAAATTAAAAACATCATGAAATATGTTACAATCAGGCCCAATCGGAAACATGACTACAGTTTTAACATATTTAGGTATTGCGATTTTAAATTAATATAATAAATATGAATGTACTTTTCCCTACCTATTAAATTAAGGCAAGCATGTTTCCTTAAAACCTTTTTTCTCAGCTCGTGTGCATCGCAGAGAAAATCTATGCATCCTGTTCCTGTTAGAAAGATATTTTACTGTAGATGTGCAGAACTAGGCTAAAAATAAACAGAAATTAATTCAAAATTTTAAAAAAATAACATGGGACTTGTGCGTTGCCATGCTGGTGACGAAATCTATATATTAATTTGAAACTGTTTTTCTTTGTGACAGCTAATTTGAGAGAACAGCTGGGCGTAGAAACTCGGTAAGGGTGTCTAAAGAAAGGTCTTGGTCTGTAGATGAGCCATCAAAAGAGAAACGTGGTAAATTCCCTCGGGGCTCTGCCCCAGTGGCCTTTTAATTCCCATCCCATGTTATTCTTATGGAGGAAAAAAGGTGTTTTTGTCACGGCTAATTTGAGAGAACGGCTGGGCGTAGAAACTCGGTAGAAGTATCTAAAGAAATGTATTAGTCTGTAGGTGAGCCCTCAAAAGAGAAACGAGGTAAATTTCCTTGGGGCTCTGCACCAGAGGCCTTTAAAGTTCACTCAGCAGTTTTGTTTACATTACGACCATATGGATAATTTTACACTACTTTTAATGAACCAGCTGTTAATATTAAAATTGTATTCAAAAGTCTACTGAAACTGTCAAAATTAAATGTTTACACATTATAATTTATGATTTTAAATTGATTCTCCACTGCATGGCAAGTTTTTTATAGTTTCAACAAAATTTGAAATTATGAAATTTTGTGGTCAAATTTCCTACAATTATGGTTCATTCCATCCACGAAATACATGCACAGCTTTGTGTGATCGATATGGCCATTGCAAAACTACCCCATAAGCTAATCAATTAGCAAGTAAGTACAGGATGATTTAATACATGGGTCGATGTGTCAAGAGAAGGAATTAAAATTGCTTGGATCGAAGTAAGAATTTTACTGCTTTCTGGAGAATCAGATATTTGTATCAAATACAAAAAAAAGAAAAAGATTTAATATGCCTCCCGCTGATAAAATTCTGTATTTTTACTACCAAAGATGGTGATTCGCTTATACAATCCAAATACTATCTGAATGATTTTCCCAAAGCAGATAGAACCAGTTATTTTAGTAATATTGACTCTTTCCAATATTATCTAGACGACAGACCAATTATATGAACTCCTTTCCCCATATAGTGAAAGAGGCTTTAACTTAACATGAACAAAAGTCATGAACAAGAAACAATTATAAAACTACTGAAAAGCCTTTTGGGCAACCTAAAGCCAATGAAAGGACAGAAAATATTGAATTCAACGAATTCATCAACCACATTTTTTAAGGTACACTATCGTCTTACTCATAATTATGTTTATCCTCCCTAAGATTTTAATAACTTCACTCTATCCATCGCAGTTAGCTGAATTTACGTAAAACGTCAAGAGTAACCGTCGATTTCGACGGGATTCACCTAGTAACAATGAATTATAAACAGAAAATCAAAACAAATGGAATTAATTCCAATCACATGTTTTATCTGTGGGGTGAAAATAGAGAAGTATGTACATAAGATATTTTTGGACGAGTTTTCGACCACTGGACGACCTCTAGTTCCTTTTAAAGCACATTCACGACAAACAGCTGCTTTCTTGCTCAAAGAGTCATTTTCTATCCCCGCAATTCCCTGTTTTCCCCGCGGGTGGCTGACCTGGCGTCTCGGCCCTTGTCCAAGCGTCCCGACGCCACGTCACACTCCTAGACTGTCCGACGCCTCCCCCCCTCCCCTCCATCCTTACCTCACGTCTGTGTGTGTGAGAGACTACCGAAATATTCTTAGAGCATTTCAGTGTCCTTACGTAACTTAATTCCACTATTTTTTTATATATATATTTTTTTTATACAAGTTAGCTGTTACTACTAAAGACGTATATAATCATTTTTGTGTGGTCTTGAATCACTTTAACGTGGAGATAAAAATCATCCTAATTCCGTCAGGTGGATCTTAAACCTAATAAAATGGTTATGGCGATTTGGTCAAAATCCGTTACGTGCCCACAATTCTATTTTCTCCAATAATTAGGTACACCTCTATGACATAGTGAAATATTTTATTAATTTTTCCCCTCAGAATTATGCTATATTGAATAAGTTTTAATAGGTATATTCATTTTATTTGAAACCAACAGCCGTCCAATGTTGAGAGGGCATTAGCAAGTAGAAATATCTGAAGACTTTGTACCAACAAGATCCAAATGACCACCTTGTTCGTTCAAATAGTTGATAGCCTCACCTATTCTGTATCATTCATTTACCTATACAACCTTGATTGTAGGCTTACGGTGCCAATCAATCAATATTTTGAAGATAAACCATTATTAAAGGTCTAGTTTCGATCTTGTTCTCTAATCTATGAAACCTTTACGTATGATCGATGAGCTAACAGTTCAATCTGTCTTAAGTAGCAGATGATAGCAAACATACGTAACAATTGGTTAAACACAGATGTTTTACCAGTTTATACGACACTAGCTGTACCCGCGGGCTTTGCCCCGTTTTACTTCATAAGTGAGCTCGTTCGCATGGCTCAATCACGTCCTGGTTAAAGTTCGTTCGCTACGCTCACTCACCTTTAGGTTGGAGCTCGTTCGCTGCGCTCACTCACCTTTTGGTTGTTTAGCTGTTGTCATAAATTCAAGAAAAATAATAGTGCTGCACCCTGTTGGTAATCCTTGTAACTTTAATGCTATTGCACATCATAGAACAGAACCAACTTGTTTAATTGAAACATCTGTTAAGATTCATTAATCTATATTCTATATCTATCTATCTATATATTAATAGGCAAGCATGTTTCTTTAAAACCTTTTTTCTCAGCTCGTGTGCATCGTAGGGAAAATCTACGCATACCATTAGAAAGCTATTTTCCTGTAGGTGTGCAGAATTCCTTTATAAATTAAAATAGGCTCAAAGATAAGCACAAAAAATGAGTTTAAAAATTTGAAAAAATTAACATGGATCATATGGGTTGCCATGCTGGTGACGAAATAACAACGAAATATAAACAGAAAATCAAAACAAATGGAAGAAACTCCAATCACATGTTTTATTTACAGTGTGGGGTGAAAATAGAGAAATCTGTACATTACATATTTTTGGTCGAGTTTCGACCACTGGACGACCTCTAGTACTTATTTAATACGCAAGCACGATTTTTGTGACAATTACTCCTCCGAAACTACTAAACCGATTGACATGTTTTTGGTGTCATTTGAAAGAGCGTAACGTGAAGTTGTGCAGGAAACCTTCTTTTTAAGGAAATAATTAGATAGTGAGGCCCTGGGGCCCTTTAAAGTTTCGTATTTCTCCATAAGGATAACAAGGGAGATAATTTTTATTTACAGAAACATATGTTTGTTAATTGAAAATAGTCAAAGTCTACTACATAATAATTTCTGTGTAATATGACTATTAATGTATACTACATTTCAATCAAGGATTGTGTGCCTTAAACTTTACTCATAATGGATCTCACTACTTTATTTTCATGCTGGGAATAGTAAAATTTAATTGAGAATAAGAGAATAAGTAGAAAAACTTTACTATAATAAATGATGTATTTAAAATCACAATCTTTTGACATTATTAATTCATTAGAAACGAAACAGCTGATCAAGAAATCAAACAAATCATCTACTTCATGTGAATAATCTTTTTACACAAACATAGTTTTTTTTAACCAATAACTTGATTATTTTTTACTTGTGGGTGTATTTTGAGTTTGCAGTTATGAAAGCACCAAGCTAAGTACTTTTTATCTAATTTTTTTTTATAAACTAACAGTATTAATGAATTACTACATGAACTTAACAAGTTAGGTAATTAATTGTCAGTATGCCAAGGGGAAGAGTGGGTCCTCGAAAACAGTCGAAGGCAGAGGCTCCCATCTAGAAAATCCAACTGAGTTTTTAAATATTAAGGTCAGTGGATTGCCAAGACACAGATTATGCAAATAAAAGGAGGCAGTGGTTTTATTGATATTAATACATCAAAAAGGGCCTCATTAATGGCACAAGGCTTCATGTGATCAGAACGGTTAACAACAATGTAAAGTAGAATGTAAAGTCCTAACATGGAACAAGTGAGTAAGGACATACTTTGATTTTGAGGATAAAAAATTTGCCCGTCTGAAACAAAGTTACCTTTTAAAATGGAAAGATGCTAATTTCTGTTATCTTTGGCATTTGCAGCACAAGCACTTTAATTAAAGAGCAGCAATGTTCTTAGCCAGACCAATTTCAGTCATGAGCAACTATATACTGTATAGGTTGTTTTAAGTAAGGCTACATCTTTTAATAGTAGGATAAGCATATTCATTACGGAAAATTCTGACCAGGGTAATATTCCTGAAGGCAACTTTAAGACTAAAATCGTAGTATTCATGGAAGTGCTTTTGTGATAAGTGTTTTCTTCAAGCAGCATTTTATGACCCTCAAAATATGCTACATAGGTATATACTACATTCACTGCCTATTGGTTTGATATAATAAAATGT